CAGATCCCCTTTTTTCTTTAGAAATTAGGCAACTGGTGTGGCAGATCACTTGTAAGTGCTCATAGAAGTAACTGCAGAATGTCGACTCAGCATATTAAGTCTAAAAATGTTTGTGTATATAAACAGAAATCTTAATAAAGAGTATCAGCAAGACTGTCAAAGTAAAAAAAAAAAAAATTAATACAAAAATGTATATGCCTATTCTTCCATCATTATTTAGTTTTTTGTAAACACATATTTCATCAACATCTTTTTGATCAAGCCTCTAATAAGTTATTGACCATTAATATTTGGAAAAGATTTCAAGATATGTTTGTAGAAGAAGGTATGGCAATATATGAAGATAACAAAATAACTGAAAATTTGATACTTGTACAAACATTAAAGAAAAAAGAGACAGAGGTATATAGGCTATGTATTGGTGAAATTATGGAAAAAATATATAACAAATATCGTACAGCTAAAAAAAAAGGTAATAAAAATGTTGCTACTGAATTTATTAGACTTCTAGACATGTCATTAAGTCAAATTCTTTAATGCATAAAATTAATATTATTTTTATGTAAAGTAATATATTATTAAAATATGAATATGCATACTATTAAATAAATACATATATATTTGTATATGCATAAAAAAAAAAATAAATTACTAACAAATAACAGCCTACATATACATACAATTTGTTACTTCTAAAATCAAGATAGTTCAAAGTTTTAAATACAAATAGGTTAAAGTTTAAAAATAAATTTTCCATATCTTGTATAACAAATCACAGATATTATAATAATTTATTATATTTTACACTACTTTAGACTTATTAATCTACTATTATTAATCTACTTCATTTAACTTCAATAATCTTTTATAAAGGCCAGACAGTTTTAAATTAATTACTAATAAATTTATAAAGCAAACCTTATATGACATATAAAATTACTATCTGACTTTAGATAATCCATCTTTTATAAACAATTTTATAACTAATGAATGCTTACCTACTGTTTCAACTTTAAAAATAAAGTTATAATATAATAAATTAGCTAAATAACTTATTTTAAGTATGCTAATAAACTAACAATCTTATATTTATCTATTAGGATTGTTGACACAATTCAATTTTAGTGACATGTATCATAATTTGGTCTGTGTTAACAACTTTACTACTTATTAAATAAATACAATTGAATAGCTTATCTTATGCATTATTGTAATGATTACTGCATATTACTAGGTATATGAGAGACAAGATTTATGTACTTGATTTGTTAACTTATAGATTTATGTTGAAGTTGAACATGCTCGTTTAACATGTTTGTTATCAAAAATTAAAGAGAATGATGGCAAGATTAATGAGGCTGCAGACATATTGCAAGAGTTACAGATACTTTTTAGCATACTTTTGTGTTTCACTAATTTTAATTTCAATAACAATAACTTTTTTTTTTTTTAAATATTAACTGTGAGGCCATGTCTTTAACTTTATTGAAATTCAATTGAAGTTTTTACAAAGAAAAGCTTGCTTTTAAATTACATATG